GGGGGGGGGGGCATGGTGGCTAAGTGGGTAAGACGCTGGCTCGCTAGCCTGGAGGTCGGGTGTTCAATCCCTGCATTGGCCGAGAAAGTTCACCCAGATTTTCCAGCGTGGGTCCCCCTTATCAGTGTTGCAGGACGGAGGGTCTGACAAGGACAGCTGTCTAGACATTCGGGTGAGACGAGAAACCGAGGTCCCGTGTACACATTGGCATGCACGTAAAAGATCCCTTGACAGTTGGAATTTGATATAAGAGAAGGCCGTTGTGCCGCTGTCTTGGCAAAATTTCCCTCATAGCACACTGTATGCCTGTCTTCATTAGCCCAGTTTGGAACAAAACAGTAGGACGTTTAACCCCATTTCATTTCATTTTTCCTTCGACTGCCAAAGATCCCTCCTACATACAAGCAAATTACTGAATCAAAATTGTCTAGTTTGTGTCAATTGGACATTGTTAAACCTTATATTTACAAGTTGAAAAAGATTTCTTTAAAATACATGTACACTTTAAACCAATAATACTGAATTGAATGGAAATTCCTGACCTTTCAAATAAATGCCACGACATACACAGTGATATATATAGTTTATATTATTAGTGATGGGATCAGGACTTGCTCTAGATATTTGAAACATTGTTTTAAACAGTCTAGTGCAAGGGTTCTCAGTATACCTCCAGGGAATAAATTCACTCTGGGGTCGGGGGGGGGGAGCAGGTGGAACTTAATGATTCTGTCCCTATTTTACAATTATAATTAAAAAGAAAAAATGAAGCTGAGAAGAAATAAAGAGATATGTAGTGTAGACCATCGAAAGTATAAAAAAAACAGAAAGAATTAGGCCAAAATTAAAAGATTGTCTGTTTGCCCAAACACGACCGACCCCAAAAAAAGCTGCCGAGTCAAATTCTTTTATTGCCGTTTTTGAAGATTTTTTTTTTTTTTTAACAGCATTATTTTTAAGCTTGACAATGACACCCAAACGCGAAATAATCGGTCGGGAGATTGAACAGCCACTGTCATGTCTATACATAGTAACACCAAACTCGACACGTGATTTTGTAAAATCTCGTTATTTATCGCGATAGTTGTTGTTAAGGAACAGTATGTGTCATGGCAGACAATTACACACACCGAAAATAAAGTAACCAATCGTTTCGAACAAGTTGCAGCGATTTAACAACAGTAAGACATGGATGGAGGGACGTCTTTGATGATGTCAATGTTGATGAAATAGACACGAAGACAACGGACAAAATGGTTGTGACTGTTTCAACTGTTCTCGTTAGGCCTAATAAAAAAGTTAGAGTTTAAATATTTTTTTGTTTTTGCACTTAGTTCTCAAAGTCTGGTCCTCCCAAAAAAAAAAAAAGAATTTGCCTACCTACCTACCCATACCTAATCATCATGAGTCGGGTTTGGGCAAACTGAAATATTTTTAACCCTGGCCTTATAGATCAGGGCCCTGTTTCTTGAAATCTTAACTAAAGATAAAATCCAAATTTTAGTACATACTTCAATTTTGATTGGCCAAGCACTAAAATCAATCTAATATTATCCAATCAAATTAATAAAATTTGGATTTTATCTGTATTTTAATGAGACTGGTGGCACTATGGGAGAGTACAATGTATATGTATCTAACAACAACATGTATGACATTCAAAATATCACAAATGTGCAGAAATGAGGATAAATGTTTTAATCCTCTAGAAGCATTTAGTAATTGGGGGGGGGGGGGGGAGGGGTAGACTAGGATATTTCGGGACTAACATATGGTTCAATTTTACTTCAATAATTCGCTTGCACATTGGTGTCTTTAGCAGTGGGAGGAACTGGATAGAGTATATAGACGCATTTAGTAACTGTGTCGGGGAGGGAGAGATAGATTGAGAGACACACAAAATACATGTAGGTCTTTTTGGGACATATGGTTCAATTGTGCATAGGGGTCTTTAGCAGTGGGCGGAAACCAGAATTATTAGTAACTGGATAGAATAATTATTCTTTCATAAGTATGTGTTGTAGTGGGCGGGATGAATTTATCAACAGAGAGACAGAAAGAAATGGGGTTAAACATCCAGTCGACATACCCTAGTATAAATCTCAGCCAATAAATAGTATGGCTGTTGGGGTGACATAACGATCTAGATTATCGTGCTTCCAGCACTAGCTGGTCAATCACCTCTGGATTAAGATCATGGTTTTGATCCCTGGTGTGAGTGTATGTGACTTGGAAATAGGCGCACCCTCTCAACCTAGTGGGTTAACTCAGGATATGCCTGTTTCCTGCCACCTGAAAGACCTCTGTGCGTGCATTGAGCATAATAAAATAAAATAACTTGTCTACGATATCACCATCGCATGTTAAACAGAAGAAGAACAACAATAATTATCCAAAACATGTAAATGTTATTAAAAATTTGTTATATTTTTTTGCCATTTTAAATCATTCATTTATTGCTTTTGACATCATTGCCACTGGCGCTGCAAATCGAAATGAAATGAAATGAAATGAAATGGAGTTTAACGTCCTACTGTTCTGCTCCTAACCTGGGCTAATGAAGACGGGCATACGCCATACAGTGTGCTATGAGGGAAATTTTGCCCGGACAGCGGCACTACGGCCTACTCTTATATCGAATTCCAACTGCCAAGGGATCTTTTACGTGCACGCCAATGTGTACACGGGACCTCGGTTTTTCGTCCCATCCGAACGACTAGACAGCTTTCCTTGTCAGCCCCTCCATCCTGCATCACTGACAAGGGAGAACCACGCCAGAAAATCTGGATGAACTTTCTCGGCCAATGCAGGGATCGAACACCCGACCTCCAGGCTAGCGAGCTAGCGTCTTACCCACTTAGCCACGTGATCCCCCATTAAAGGGGAATTATGGGAGATTAGATAAAGAGTTGACATTTCTCCCTATAATTAATAAACCTGTTAACGAATGAAGCCTGCTATAAATGACTTGTAACATTGACAACTGCTCAACATGCATATTGTTATTGCACAGAACCCCCCCCCCCCCAACTTCTCTAAATGATTTCTACTAAAACTAGTGTAAACCAGCAAAAGTGTGCAATAACATTGAACATGTCTAGTTATTGCACGGTTAAGCTCCACCCAATCTACAAGAGGAAAAATAATCTGCTTATTCAACAAAAAGAACAAAGGAAGATTTCCTATCCATGTTACAAATAGATTTTAGTGAACTGTGAATGATGTGATTCAGTGATGTTACCATCTAGAATGGTGTGATTCAGCAACATTACAAGCTAGAATGATGTCAGTCAGCAATGCTACAAGCTAGAATGGTGTCAGTCAGCAATGCTACCAGCTAGAATAGTGTCAGTCAGCAACACTACAAGCTAGAATGGTGTCAGTTAGCAATCCTACCAGCTAGAATGGTGTCAGTTAGCAATGCTACCAGCTAGAAAGGTGTCAATCAGCAATGTTACCAGCTAGAATGGTGTCAGTTAGCAATGTTACCAGCTAGAATGGTGTCAGTTAGCAATGCTACCAGCTAGAATGGTGTCAATCAGCAATGTTACCAGCTAGAATGGTGTCAGTCAGCAATGTTACCAGCTAGAATGGTGTCAGTCAGCGATGTTACCAGCTAGAATGGTGTCAGTCAGCATTGTTACCAGTTAGAATGGTTATTCAGTGATGTTAACAGCTAGAATGCTGTGATTCAGTGATGTTACCAGCTAGAATGGTGTGATTCAGTGATGTTACCAGCTAGAATAGTGTGTGGGATGTTAACTGCTAGAATAGTGTGATTCAGAGATGTTACCAGCTGGAATAGTGTGTGGAATGTTACCAGCTAGAATAGTGTGTGGAATGTTACTAGCTAGAATAGTGGGTGGCATGGCATGTTACAAGCTAGAATAGTGTGTGGCATGTTACCAGCTAGAATAGTGTGTGGCATGGCATGTTACCAGCTAGAATAATGTGTGGGATGTTACCAGCTAGAATAGTGTGTGGGATGTTACCAGCTAGAATAGTGTGTGGGATGTTACCAGCTAGAATAGTGTGTGGGATGTTACCAGCTAGAATTTTGTGTGGGATGTTACCAGCTTAAATAGTGTGTGGCATGTTACCAGCTAGAATAGTGTGTGGCATGTTACTAGCTAGAATAGTGTGTGGGATGTTACTAGCTAGAATAGTGTGTGGCATGGCATGTTACCAGCTAGAATAGTGTGTGGCATGTTACCAGCTAGAATAGTGTCTGGGGTGTTACTAGCTAGAATAGTGTGTGGCATGTTACCAGCTAGAATAGTGTGTGGGATGTTACCAGCTAGAATAGTGTGTGGCATGTACCAGCTAGAAAAGTGTGTGGAATGTTACCAGCTAGAATAGTGTGTGGCATGTTACCAGCTAAAATAGTGTGTGGGATGTTACTAGCTAGAATAGTGTGTGGGATGTTACTAGCTAGAATAGTGTGTGGCATGGCATGTTACCAGCTAGAATAGTGTGTGGCATGTTACCAGCTAGAATAGTGTGTGGGATGTTAACAGCTAGAATAGTGTGTGGGATGTTAACAGCTAAAATAATGTGTAGCATGGCATGTTACCAGCTAGAATAGTGTGTGGGATGTTACTAGCTAGAATAATGTGTGGCATGGCATGTTACCAGCTAGAATAGTGTGGCATGGCATGTTACCAGCTAGAATAATGTGTGGGATGTAACCAGCTAGAATAGTGTGTGGGATGTTACTAGCTAGAATAGTGTGTGGCATGGCATGTTTCCAGCTAGAATAGTGTGTGGCATGGCATGTTACCAGCTGGAATAGTGTGTGGGATGTTACCAGCTAGAATGGTGTGTGGCATGTTACCAGCTAGAATAGTGTGTGGCATGTTACCAGCTAGAATAGTGTGTGGCATGTTAATAGCATAAAGTTAATATTGTATGTGCATGTAACATAATAATCCAATGTAATGTTACTGATCCATTAATTCCCTACTTCTCACATTTGTAAACAAAGATGTAAATCTACTTACTGGTTTTTATATCAAAACAGGTCTCATGCATTTTTCCTGAGAATAACTCCAATCCTATGATAGCGTATATGATAATGACAAAAATGACTAATAGAGCTATGTGTAACAAAGGCACCATTGCTCGAAGAATCGAGTTCAACACAACTTGTAAACCTGAAAGAAAAACAGACAAAATTTTAAATTAAATTATATTTCTGGAATTTGCGTTGATAATTATATATCTACCAGAAACAAGTACGTCGTAGCATGGTAGGCACGCTGATTGTGAGGGTGGTATGAAGTAACTCAGATCATGTAACTTCCTAAAGCTTGTTTGATTTTCTTAGCAATTTATTTTTCTTAAAGATACATTATTTAAGAGTTTTATAAAGAGTTGGTCATTCTTGCTATAATAATTCAAAAATAGATGATAAAAAAAGAAAATATTGAAAATTTCATTCAAATTACTTCATTCTCAGCCAAGTTATCATTGTTTGTAGTTTTGACAAGATGTGTGCACAGTGGTAACAAGGGCAGTGGTATAATCGAGACTTAGCCTCGCTTTCCCATCTTTAAATTAAATTTTTAAGTGGTGAATCGTTTTAATCTAGTTAAAAGCTCGAGTATCCGATGCCATCGAGAGTTGATTATGGTCTTGTTTTGTTAATAAATGTCTTATTAATAGTTTATATAACATTTCAGGCCTAAAGAAAGACCTGCAATAAGCAGATATCGCTCTTGCATAGTGTATGTTTAAGATAGAAATATCCCGAATGAAAAATAGAAAAGCTAAAGCCCAATCTTAATCCAACTACACAGATCAGAATGAACTCTGCAAAACATGTATTATTTATTTTCAAATACAAACGAAACTACACTATAACCTGGGTATCATTTATTCTTATGTATTTAGCACTAATTTCTTTCACAGTCATTCAATATCAAATCCTTGTTTAAAAATCGTAAAAATCATTTAAAATCACCATAATTCATCCAATTTGTACTTGTGTCCCGTTTAAAGCTGATCAATTAATTTTGGTAATAAGTGTCCAATTTACAAGCGTTTAATTTCTCAATCAATGTTAAACAATAAACAACCCAATTGATTACTGATGCATAATGATTAATTTTTTTAATAGTAGTCAGAAAATTAATCAGTCAGCTTTAAACTGGACACAAGTACAAATTAGATGATTTGGGGTGATTTTAAATGATTTTTACAATTTATTAAACAAAGATTTGATACTAAACGAATGTGAAAGAAGTTAGTGCTGGATACACAAGATTAATTGATACCCAGGTTACAGTGTAGTAGCTTCGTAAGAGAAATCAGGTACGGCTACCCATGATTTATAGCTATATCTAATTTTATTGAAAGAGAGAGAGAGAGAAATGGGGTTTAACTCCACTCCACACAAACTAGGTCATTTCGTGACTAACACATGGTTCAATTTCATTTCAATCATACGCTTGCGCGTAGGGGTCTTTAGCAGTGGGAGGAAACCGGAGGACCCGGAGAAAACCCACGAGGTTGGACAGGCGACCCTACTCTTTGTCACGTACAACCAGGGAATCAAAACCCCACCAGTTGACAAAATGACAGACCGTACGATACAGCGCGCTCGTGCTAACCATTCGGCCATCCAACCCCCCAATTTTATTGAAATAAATGAATTATACTTACTAGGAGCTCTTGAAACTAATCGTAACGGTCTTAACACCCTAAACGCCCTCAGAGCTTTTACGTCAAAACCCTTGCTATGTACAGCAGTTAGAATTATACTTATTACACTGAAAAAAAAAAAAAAAAAATTAATTAAACTCTTCAAGATGAAAAATAACAAAAATACAAGTAAAATTATTGCTATATTCATCGCCATAATTATTGAATTTAATATTCCATACGTGATTTCCATTAATCTGAAATAATTTATTTGAAAAATCCCACTTACCCTATAACAACTATAATAAAATCTAATATATTCCATCCATTCCTCAAATACGCTCCAGAATGCATTACAAAACCATAGGCTATCACCTTTAGAAATGCTTCAAGTGTGAATATAACTAAAAATAAAAATTCTACGTTTTCCTAAATAAAAGAAAAAAAAAAGATACATTAATCATTTAATGCCTCAAATTTGAAAATAACTAAAAATACATATTCTACATTTTCCTAAAAAAATAAAGAAGAAAATACATTAATCATTTATAAACTGTTTTCAAATACAGCACATGTATTTTACATAAATAGGTAGACTGGTAAAAAATTTTTTATACAATCAGTTTGCCTGGAGGTCGTGTGTTCGATCACTGCATTGGCCAAGAAAGTTCATCAGGATTTTCCGACGTGGTTTACCCTTGTCAGTAGTGCAGGACAGAGGGCCTGACAAGGGCAGCTGTCTAGTTGTTCGGATGGGACAAAAAACTTAGGTTCCATGTAAACATTGCCATACACTTATAAGATCCCTTGGCAGTTTGATACAAGAGTAGAACAGTAGGACATTAAACGTGAAATTTCGGGTTTAATCCTACACCGACTGGGCTAACGAAGAGTACATGTACCCATGTACAATGTAGCATACACCATACAGTGTGCTATGAGGGCAATTTTATCCGAACAATTTTACGGTCTCCACTTATTTCAAATTCCAACTGTCAAGCATTCTATTATGTGTACGACTAAACACCAGGGGAAACCAAACCAGAAAATCTGAAGAAATTTTCTTGCGAAAAGCCAAGATCGAACACAGGGCCGTACTGAGTCATCCTATTATGAAGTCTTAAGTCCGTTTTAATAAATAAGCAAACTCAGCATTCATATTTGAAGTGAACACAATTTTCGTGTTATAGGTTTTAATCTTAAATACCTGACCCTAACCCTAACAGAAAGTAGGAATTTCCATGTGGAAACAGTACGGACGACTAACCGCTAGTTTTTCGGTGTAGAAGTGATGGAAATTTAAAAGGGAGTCGGATCAAACATGTGTTTTACTTACCAAAGCCATGTTTACTTCGTTGGTATCAGATTTAGGATATGGAGTATATGTAGCAAGGGCCACGCAGTTGGCAAAAATTGTAATCAGGATCAGATATTCAAATGCTGTAATTCTTATTAAGGAAAAATAAAATCTTGGTACATGTGTTTTGTTGAATACAGCAGGTTGGGTTACTGGGGAATCCACCTGTCTCACGAATATTTTCAATTATCAAAATTCAGGTGTAATTATCACTTGCGTGTAGAGGGGAACCAAAGCAGAGAGAGAGGGAAATGGGATTTAATGTCCACTCGACAAACTAGGACATTTCGGGACTAACACATGGTTCAATTTTTTATTTCAATAATTTGCTTGAGCGTAGAGGGCTTTTAGCAGTGGGAGGAAACCGGAGGACCCAGAGAAAACTGAGATTGGACAGGCGACCCTACTCCTTGTCACATACAACCGAAGAATCGAAACCATATGATACAGCAGGAACGTGCTAACCATTCGGCCTACCAACACCCCGGAGCCAAAGCAGCATAGGACCATGGCACCACCAGTTAAATAACTCAAAGTCAATGTACACATTATCATCTTATGAAAGTTTTTAAAAATAATAGAAATTGAGAGTATGCATATTCTTTCTTGAAAGAAAATAACAAACTTAGTCATTATTATGAATAGTCAAATTAAAAGAGACCTACCCCAACCTACCCCCACCCCCCCTCCCCTCAACAACATGTACATGTAACAAGGGGAAATCAATCGGTGGTTACACACAAATTTTTCAATTTCAAAAAGGATATCTCCATTCCACCACTTTGATACACAATTTCCTCAAAGGGTTTTTAAGAGTCAAAAAGAACAAGGCCCTAGCAGGCCGAACATTAAGGTTTTGTTGTTTACGAACTTGTGCCCGTTTTCGCGTCATATTTGCACCGGCTGCTGCAGCTACTAGAGCTGTACTCCACGCATTACTAATCTGTGGTTTATCTGAACCTGGTGCTCCCTCCTCAGTTGGTTCTCCTCCCTCGGTTTGTGACGAGGGTTGTTGTGCTGGTCCCGGGTCTTTTTGTGTTTCTGATGCAGGCCGGGTTGGGCTTTGATCGGTGGGACGATCATGACTCGTACCTGAAAATATGCAAAAAAACAATATTTGGATTTCTCAATATACAAAATCGCTCGTGGAATACTTGGGCAGGGATACACTCTCTTGAACCATTAAAAAATACACTGTACTATCCAGATTATCAAAAACAAAATCACCAATAACATTAAAATTCGTCATAGGTTCCACCCTTTTTTCTTTGTTCACAAAAATTGTGGTTGCTTTTGCTAGTGTTGACGTCATTACAGTTTGATGTAATTCTGAAAGTGACGTCATTATGGACAAAAGTAGTACGTATACAAGCCACTGAATACAACCATAGGTTATTCAATGGCTGTATTCAACGGATGTATTCAATGATATTTGCTTGTATTTGCATGTAGTTATAAAATAATAACCTCTATCCCAAACCACCCATACAGAGAGAGAAAGATGAATGAGGTTTAACGTACATGTACAGTTCAATTCTATTTCAATAATTCGCTGGCATGTAGAGGTCTTTAGCAGTGGGTGGAAACTGGAGGACACAGAGAAAAGCCACGAGGTCGGAAGGCGACCCAACTCCTTGTCACGTACAACCGGAGAATCGAAATCACGCCACTTGACTCAAAGACAGACCATATGATGCAACGCGCACATGTTAACCATTTGACTACCCAACCCCCACACAGAAATGAAATAAAGTGTAAATGTATTTCATTGCCCGCCCAATCTCGTGGGTTATCTCCGGTTTCCATTGCTAAAGATCCCTACATCAGTACGTGCAAGTGACTAAATGCATTTTTCTACACTAATCCGTCAAAACTATTGAGAAGAGCAACTGTACATGTAAGTATTTTTTGTTTCTAAATTAAGTTTTTTTCCTGATGAAACTGGAAGTAGAATTTTTAATACACTGTACATGTACATGTAGATGTTCCTGAAGAAAAGAAAAGAAATTGTAATTGGTCATGGTGTGGTGTGGTGTGATCTTACTTATTAATTAATGACTACAGTAGTGTATGTAATTCAATCAACAATCAAATACGAGACAAAACAACCCAATACCTATTAGTGGTCAAGTCATTGTCAAGTTCAAGCTGCGAATCGAAATCATGACACTAGACTCAATAACAGACCTTATGATCTAAAGCACATGCTTTAGACCACTTAGCAGCCCGCCCCCCCAACAACCCTTGGTTGTCAATACATGTAGATGCACATGTAAGAATAATCACAGTGAAATTGAAGTAAATTTCAGTTTTTGGCCAAGAAAATATTCTAAACAAGGTACATTTTGTGAGAGAGAGAGAGAGAGAGAGAGATGGGGGGAGGGGGAGGGTAATTTGGCCCTGGCCTCTTATTCTTATTTCAAATCAACCATACAAACAATTAGACACTTAGTCAGGCCTTATACCACTGTCAAGTGGAAACAACACCAGAAAATCAAGAGTTTCTAGGCCAACACCTGGATGGAACCCAAGACCTACTGGTTTGCAAGACATCGTCTTTTAGACTGGGCCACTGTGGCTCACTGTGTGAAATACCTTTATATCGCTTACAATCATTTTGATAATAATATGTACAGTAAACTTTATATTGGTTTGAACTTTGGATCCATACATGTAGGCAACTGTACATAATAATAATAATAATGAAATTTTTATCGCGTAATTATTCAATCAACTACGGAATGGCCGAATGCACAAGGCGCTAGAAAATGTTCTCACTTTAGATTTAAAAACTGACACAGAATCACATTGTCAGATATTTTCTTGAAAAGTACAATGTACACATGTATTTGTTTGACCTATTGAATCTGAACTTGGTGTAGATGAAAATACAGATAGTCGATACAGTCTAGATGAATTCCAATTCTTAATTACGTAAATAAATGTCTAAAATCTCATGGGTTTTTTTTTATTTATCACTTGATCCCAATCAAAGGTGGTCCCAATGAGCCAAAAATGTGATGCCAATGTGACACAAATGTGGCCCCAATCAGCTTTGACAATAATCTCAATCAGCTAGGCTTTCAACGGCTTACATTCAAATAACCACATGATTTTAAACAAAAGATTTTTGTCATGTACATGTTCAGTACATACTTTGTCATTAATAAGGATTCAAAAACAAACTAATATACATGTATATATCATAATAAAAAAATAAAAAACACATGTTACACGTAGAAGTAGGACAATTAATATTTGCTAATCATCATGTAAATTAGTAAATTTAATAAATTGTGTCACAATACATGTGTAAGTGTGTTACTAAATCATAATAAAGCTTTGCTGGTACAATACATGTATTAACAAGACATTTTTGAGGATACCAAAGTTTTGACCGTTTTGACCAATTTATGTACATTTGGATCAAATTATGGTTGTTTTGACCAAAGAGAATTTGGGCCGTTACAGTTTATGGCCTTAGATACATGTTGATAGGTATTTATTACATAAAACACATTTTCAGGTCGCATGTAAATTATACATTATGCATGTAAATTATACATTATGCATGAAAATACATTAAAAAAATTGGATGAAAAATACATAAAAATTGGATGAAATATTATATTATGGCCACATCCCACAATTAATTGTACTTTATACTGTATCTTACATGTAATTACATGTACATGCAGCTTTATTTATAAACAATGTAGTGATTATCAAAACTGTTGCATATTTTAATTTGGAATTATTATACATGTACATGTACTGTACAGTAGGCATCAATATATACTCTTCAAAAAAAAGTAGGGGATATTCAGAAACAATACAAAACTGCGGAATTGCACTGCTGTTTTTATTAGAGGTAACCAGTGTATGTTAATAACAGGCCAATTGCCTACACATGAACATAAACAGTTCATATGGGCGGCTTATCTGACGGCCCCATTTCACTTGCAAAGAGATACACTGTTAAAAGTGAAAATGGACGTTTTTGATTTTGTCTTAATGATGAGTAATTGCTCCACCAATCCTCAGACATTCAGCAATTCGTCGTGGCATGCTCATAATCAACCGTCCAATCACGATTTGGGGCAATCTGACCCACTCTTCTTGCAGTGCCACGGTCAATTCTTACAGTGTTGTCGATTGACGTTGACGTCGAGGAACGCGTCTCCTGATCAAATTAAACGTAACACACTAAAGTAAAGATACGCTAAACAGTAAATCTTATGCAAGAACCGATAGGAAAGCAAACATGGATAGATAAACGAGTACCCGGCAATTTTCATCAACCCTTCCTTAAAGTGTCAAATTTGACAATTTTTAACCCCTCCCACACTCTCGCGTGTATGGCGCTATTGCGTGTCGCATGTGCAGCTCAGTGGTTCTGTCGGGGCGATAAGTTCTTCATCTGTGAACATACTCTCAAAGCATGTCAAATGTCCATGACTATTTATCATATCGCAACCTGCATAGGTATTTGCATTTCAATATCCCCTACTTTATTTGAAGAGTGGGCCTATATATAAACAAAGTTGTGAATATCGAAGTTGTTGCATATTTTGAAATTATTAAACTGTACATGGCTGCCGACAACCAGTATCGCAGCGCAATTTGCAATACATATTTTGCCCGTTGCTAATCAAAAATTAAAATCTAACATTTTTGATTCGCTGTAACTGTGAAGCATTAATATGCCTGTCATTTTAGATATTGACACAAAGATTTATCCACATTTTGAAGAATTGAAGGCTTTCTCAACACTTCCAACTTGTATAAAATGTCAAATCAAATTTTATAAACAAAACTGAATTCTCCATGTGACATTTTCTTTTCGAACTACCCAGACACAATTCATTACACTATTTATACTATATAATACAGGGACATAACTCTATGTATAGGGACTATTAAACTGGATATAGGGAATCAAGTAGTACCACTCATGTTGCGAGACATTATATCAGTATTCAATTTGAAAAAAAATAAATCCAGTGTAATACCCACGTATTGTAAATAACATATAAAAAAATAAATACATGTAAACGTATTGTAAAATGAGAAATCAAAGTAAGGATTCACGTAAAATATTATTGTTTATATCGCATGTGTCTAGTTAATCGAGTTTATTCGTTAATTTCCGCGTGTGTCCGATTGAACAAAAATAGTAACACACGATAAAAAGCAGACGAAATTATTTTCTGACGAAGAAAAGACAATTAAAATGAGTGGGGCTTTGGAAGACACTGCCAAGAATTGGCTTCAGACGTAAGACCTAACCAAAAGTCTACATCACATTCACAAACTGTCACAGCTACCTGTAGCAGTGCTAAAAAAATCTAAGAATGAAATCTAATCATTTGTTATGAATTACAGTATTATCTTGTTATTTAGTTGTTGTATGTTGAAACTGAAAAACTGCTAATCAATTTTTAAATTTGCAAAACAAATTTGGCAAAATTGGACTTTTTGTTTAATTAACTGTGAAAAATTACCAATAGCCCCGACACTGTAGGCCCAAGTACATGTGTTCATGTATAAATAACATTGCGATTAAATACAAAATGTTGCATATTTTAATTCAGAATTATTATAGGTCTAAGGCTAATATAATAATTATTAATGTATATTACATTGTTTTAAATAAACTTATTATCATTGTATTATTACACTGTATTATTATCATTAGATTTACTATTATTACAGAGTCTCTAGCCGTTTGTGTTATTTGAAAACATTAGCCTACTCACTCACTGGCCTCAAAAAACCATTCTTGCTCATTCATAAATCCAAAAGCAATTTTTTTAGTCTGGCATATTTCTACTATTTTAGTTCCCACAGGAGTGGTACATTTCTGGCAAAATGCCTTTTTTTTTATAACATGCCAAAATACGGATGATCATGCATTACAATCACATACATGTACTACAGGCAAATATATTAATTTATCAAATTGATTACTCTAAACTACTCCTATCAAAAACCCTCTAAATTAAAAATATTTTATCTCATTCTTGCCATAGAATATATCTATGAAACCATATGGTAAATAAATTAAATCAGAAAACAAAAGGTGGAAATTGAATCCGATTGTATTGGAACCATTATTGTATATGGACATTCCGTAATTCATTCCGTATTGGAGACTGCCATGTTTTGACGAGAACCGATATCTCGGTTCTGCATCATTCCTTTTCATTCAAGACCAAATTCTGGCATTCCAACCAATCCTGGTTCTACAATAATGGTGACCACAGTTCCATATTAGTTTCTTTTGCACTTACCCGCTCCGACCGAAGCCATTTTCGAATGGGAAACTGATATACAACGTTCCCTATAAAATATTTTCTATCTCATGATTTCCTCCATTTTTGTGCTAACCCAAGTGATACGGCACTACATCCGGGTGCTCGCATGCAACACCATTCTTGAGATTTTCAGCAGACATGCAGTGGTCCAAATGTTGCAAAACACAATATTCGCATAATTTGCTCCAATTCAGCGTCTATTTTAACAAATATTAAAAACGTATCCTTCCTAAATTGCGATTAAAGAGGCACACGACAATTAATATCCGTAAATTATTATCAGTATTTTTTTTCACAACATTTCATTGGCTTGGCCTATCTGTGGTCTATCCGAGCCCGAGCCAAGCTGTCAATGTCAATCAACTGCCGTCTTCCCAAAAAATGGACCAAAATAAGGCGCCTTTTAAAAGCATAATTGATATAGTCTATTTTCATATAAACTGTTAATTATAACAATATAAATATTTATATAACATTTTAACAATTTATTCATCATTAATCGCCATACACTGACTAAGAAATATTCGCTGCGCGACAGAAGATCGCGGGCGCGGGACTGTTATTGTAAACAAATATGGCGGAAAATCGAAAGAATTTTCTTGCATAACACTAGAAAGACCCGTTTGATCGGACATTATTCACAAAGCATCACAAGTAGCTTTATATTCTGTCAGTTTTAAAAACTGCAGAACGGGTAAGGTGATTGTCAATGGGTGACTACCTTTATGAAAAGTAAACTTTAGCTTAGCTAAATTGTCGTCAATGCTTGGACAACCTTCGGCTTTTTTGTTTATAACAATACAATTTAGCTTGGGTAATTGATATTTAACTTGATTGTCAATGCAGCACTAACTTTATAAAATGTAAAATTAAGCTTAAAGGCTCAATACCACTCTTGTTGTAACTGAATAATATGTCCCAATCTTTATTCTGGTCAACAAATTGTACTATATTTCAATTAATTGATGATACAAATTTCATCTTAACACACCTTATTTAAAAATTATGAAAAATTCAACATAATGGTTTGAAACGTCTAACGTAAACCTTTCAAATGAAACTTCGATTTAAAAACATTTTCGAACCCTCTGGACAAGTAAAATAGGATGTAATGGATAATTTACACAACAGGTAGGACACTTTATAAACATCTAGTACTTAGATAGAGATATTATTTATTTTCTGGAGCTTTCAAGCCAGCAAGAGTGTTGTTGTCCCTTTAAAACATATGGTAAAATATTGACATTATTTTCTGGTCAATGCTAAGGATGTTTTTCATCTTTACACTGGGCGCTGGCTAAGCAACATGGCATTTACTGTACAATACTGAATCAGTGAATGATAGGCAAATGCATGTTAACTCATCCACACAAAAAGTCTAGTTAAAGTAGCTAAATCTCTAACTCAATATCACCCAAAGCTGCCAACACTGAAAACATGAAGCAGGGGCGGATCTAGGAATTTTGAAAAGGGGGGGGGGGCACCGCAAAATGAGGGCACTGACCGCATAGACGGGGCACGTCGCTGAGAGGGGGGTTTGGGGGGGCAAGAAAATTATCCGTCATTTCCTTGCATCTGTAGCCATTCCAAGAGCTATTTGGCTGATATTTTCGTCTAAGTAAACATTCGGTAATCGTTGAAAAAGAGCCTAAAAATCGAGCAAAAAAGCCAGTTGAACATGCAACTCGACAATTGTCATGGCGAGCGAGGCATTATGATGGGAAAAAAGACGAATCTATTCCCTAGCCACTTCACTATTTAAGCATTGTAACTTGTACTGTGTACTGTCCACACATGAAACAATGCTACATCAAGTTGCACTCATGCGTCTAGGTGATGGGCATGAGTGTATACGCCGCCGATTCCACAAGATGCTATCATTGATGTCTGTCTATAGTCACTCTATAGGATTAGGACACCGTCAGCTAAACAACAAGAGTTCGTTTGAAAGTGGAAGCATTAATTAGACCAAACTGGTGTGTTTGAGTCAATGGTTTGAGTCATTTGGGATGACTGCAACGGGTTGGGAAGGGACATATTTGGGTCTGAGAAAAGGCACTTTCAGCTGTAAAAAAGGGCACTGTTGGCTTTATTCATTCATTATTTATGATCCACAAATGTTATAAGTGATTAAATAATGAATGAACAACAAAATGAACTAAACACAAAGTTATACAAATTTACGGTTCGTCATCAAGTACAGCCTGTTGATCACACATTGTATACAACAGCAATATTTCCAGTGTTGATTGTTTACAAAAAAAATGTTTTATGCGTATCTTCGAATCTTTAATATTTTTGTATATTAGCCAATCAATTTATTTGAAATAAGCAAAAACGAAAGAAAATAGTAACATACATGACACACTTGGTTCTTTAACCCTTAAGCTGCTGAATTGTTGACGTCATATGACATCGTCAACTGAATTGTTTTGGCAATACATGCATGACATTGCATGCCTCTGCTAAAACTGATATAGCTGCCAGAATCTGCAAATCAGATTTTTAGCATTGATACTGTAAAAATCTGAGTCAACAACTGTTATCAAAATTTCACAGAGTTCACTATCTTCATCGTTAAGTAAAACGTCCAACACTTCCTAGGCAGTTAGTCGTTACATAACGTCACGTTTTGTTATTTTTGGACATGTATCATCACATACATCCCCCAAATATTCAGAAAATTAGCAAAAAAAATGTAAACAAAGCAACAAGAATGACAGCAGACTGCGCTTCTTTTGTTTAGTGAAACGCCACCTACATGTATCTAACATGGGAGTTAACTCTATTACAACGCCCGGAAATAAATACAATCGGTAATCCTAGAATATTCCGGGTGGCGTATATGGAGGGCTCTTGCCGATCCCGGAATAATCCAGTGGGAGGAAACCGGAGGACCCTAATAAAACCCACGAGGTTGGACAGGCGACCCTACTGCTTGTCGCGTACAAACGTGTAATGTTATACTATTGTAGTGATCAAGGGTATTTCTAGAAGTATCAAGTCCCACTTGATCAACCAAGGTGTCTGCAATAATATCAGTGTTACCTATTTGAAGTTTAAAGCATAATCTGAGTCGTTGCACAGCAAAACAGTAATATATTGGTCAAATCCCGCTGATAGTACAGGACTATGTGGAAAGGTGGAAGTAGCCCTGGTTATCCTGACAGGCATCTATATAAAACAGGACAAAATCATATCACTATTATGACTAATGCAGAGACTAAATTTCCAAAACTATTGGTTAAAGTAATCAAGCAGTGTTTTAAACAGAACAGCCTGACTGTGGAGAATGGCATACATCATGTGGAGCCACGGTGGCTAGGTGGGTAAGACGCTGGCTCACTAGCCTGGAGGTCGGGTATTCTATCCCAGCATTGGCTGAGAAAGTTCATCGAGATTCCCAGACGTGATTTCCCCTTGTAAGTGGTGCAGGAGGGAGGGCCTGACAAGGACAGCTGTCTAGTCGTTTGGATGCACGTAAAAGATCCCTTGGCAGTCGGTATAAGAGTAGGCCATAGTGTCCGCTGCCCGGGCAAAATTTCTCTCATAGCACACTGTATGGCGTATGCTTGTCTTCATTAGACCAGTCAGAGCAGAACGACAGGACATTTAACCCCATTTTATTTCATTTCAAACGTCATATAGTGTGCTATGATGGGAATTTTGCCCTGGCAGCAGCTCTACAACTAGCACTTATTTCGATTTGAACTATCAGGGAGCCATATCAAGTTACCGAAATTTGGGAACACGTACATATGAACCTTTTTTTGTGATTTTGGATATTTTTTCTCATTTCTTTTCTAGACTCCGTATTGCAATTGCAGACTATATTCCGTCATGTCGCAAGCACATTACGGAACATGTCCAGGTTTCCTGACTGACTGACAAATTGACCAGGCTAATTACGGTAATATTACACAGGACTTTTATTTCTATTTTTAAAATTGGAGATGTGAAAAACACATAGGCCTGTTTGAAGAAACTAAATCGCTAATATTTGAGACCTAGAAATTGACACAAATGGGTTGCACCGCATATAATAATGTAATGTGAATGTATAGGAACTGATTTACATTCAACCGTTTCTGTTTTTACTGTAATTTCTAATCAGTTATGTTCGGCGAAATACGCCAGAAGACTCAATTGAATGGCAATCTTTAGCGTCTGGTTATTTCAGTCTACACTGATGATATTTATTGCGCATGCTCCCCAGATAATAATATAGTGTCACCATTTGACATGACTTGTGGAATATGTCTAGCCGTGTTCTTTGAGTCCCTTGTTCCAAATGGCGCTGAAACGCATTATGGTACACGATCCGTGTACCAATGGTAAAATGTTTTTTTTGTCTTGAATATTGGAATATCAGAAGCCCATCTTTTCCTTGTAAGATCACAAGACCAATGTTGATTTGAATTGACAAATAATTTGTGTTTTCAATGTCGAAGATTTTTGATGATATTGAGTTAGAGACTTAGCTACTTTAAGCTTCATTTTGTATTTTGTTCAGGTGCCCCCCATCCCTTGTTATCCTAAGCACATGCTTATTTTTGTTTAATTTGTTTGTGTGATTCACAATGATGATGTGATATGTAATTGAGAAATAGACACTACAAGAAGGCAAAATTCAAAATATTTTCCAAAAAGCCAGATGCAAAATTCAGGTTGAATCAAGAGTACAGTACTTTGTGATGTAAGGGGAGATAATGGATCTTAAGGGAAGATTTATCTCCCTTTAATAACTGGATATCCGACCCCCCAAAATTCACAAAGCATTCTCAGATTTAAGTTAAGAATTTACTCAAAATTGTTCGCCTTATTGTAACTAAAATAGTCCTTTATAAAATATTTGCTGTTTTAATGTATTAAATACATCAATATGAAACTATGTGCAAAGTTTTGTGTTTCTGGATCAAAGATATTTTTCATAAACAGTGATTGAAAGTTGAGTAAATTCTTAAGCCTTTTCATTTGTAATTTAGTATATATACCAATAGCGGTAGATGTTATTTAGTCAAAAGTATTATTGGGTCATTTAACTACTTGGACCCTATTGGCAATGAAAAATAAAATCATAGATCTAATTGATGAAATATTGTAACTAGTTAATTAACTAGTGCCAACTTTTTGAATCAGAAATGAAATGAAATGGGGTTTAACGTCCTACTGTTCTGCACCGACTGGATGAATGAAGACAGGCATACGTCATACAGTGTGCCATGAGGGAAATTGTGCCCAGACAGCAACGCTTTGGCCTACTATTACATGTATATCAAATTCAAACTGTCACGGATTCGTTACGTGCTTGCCAATATGTTCATAGGACACAGGGACACCACCCTGGATAATCTCATTGAACTTCCTCAACCCTTCAGTGAAACAAATATTTACTTTTTCACGCCTGGAATCTGTTTTAATTTTTCATAGGATTTTAATTCTTGAACTTATTTATATTAGAAGTAGGTCCTCTATTTTATCTGTCAGCATAATTTGGATCAATTTCAGTTCGTTAGGAGTCACAGTGGATCAGTGAGTAAGACAATGGCGCGCTAAGTTGTAGGTCGCCCTTGTTCGATCCCAGTGTACTATTCCTAGCTAGGCTCTCCGTTCTACACCAATAATGGACACCACGATTGAACCCGGATCCTCCTGCTTAGTGAACCAGCGCATAACCCACTGAGCCACCTTGCCTCCACCCGTGTTCGATCCCTGTGTACTTTTCCTAGCTAGGCTCTCCGTCCTACACCAATAATGGAGACAAGGATTGAACCCGGGCCCTCCTGCTCAGTGAACCAGTGCCTAACTCACTGAGCCACCTTGCCTCCCTGTAAAATAATAAACATTCTGAGTAGCAAGGGGAACCATGGTGACTCAGTGGGTAGGGCATTGGCTCGCTAACCTGGAGATCCCGTTTACTGAGAAAATTCATCAGGATTTTCCCGACATGGTTCCCTGTTGTTAATGGCGAAGGACGATGGGTCTGGCTAGGGACAATGTATAATCGTTCAGATGGGATGGAAAACAGAGGTCCCATGTACACATTAGCGTGCATGTTAAAGAACCCTTGACAGTTGGAATTCGATATAACAGTAGGCCGTAGCGCAGCTCTCCGGGCAAAATGTCCCTCATAGCACACTGTATGGCGTAAGCACGTCTTCATTAGCCCAGTCAGTGCAGAACAGTAAGATTATTTCATTTGATGGTCGTAAGCGAGACATTAATTAATATACATGTATAAGAGAGTGTTTGCCTGAGTAATGATTCCATATATTACGCAGTGTTGTGCTAAAGACCATTACACAACCTAAAATACAGACACATATTCCACATGTGCATTTAAAATAATTTTACGCCAAAAGCAAAGAATGACGTCACTTCTAATGTTAAATAGTGCTAAACTTTAAATTTGATCTCCTATACCAGTGTCCACCCTTGTGGGTTTTCTCCGGGTCCTCCCACTGCTATAGCCCCTACGCGCAAGCAAATTATTGAAATAAAATTAAACCATATGTTAGTTCTGAAATGACCTAGTTTGTGTCGAGTGGACGTTAAACCCCATTTCTCTCTCTCTCTCCCCCTATACCAGTGTTTCCCCCACAGGAGCTAGTAACAATATTTACAAGGACCCTGAAATCAAAGGGTGTGATCAGTGTGGAAAAAGGGGGCCAATTAAAATTCTGTAGGTGTGTAATTGAACAATGTCAGTGTCATAGCAATATTTACGCCTGGGTGATTGGATGGCCAAATGGTTAGCATGTATGTGCTGTATCATAAGGTCTTTCATTGAGTCGACTGGCGTGGTTTCGATTCCCCGGTTTTATGTGACAAGGAGTAAGTTCGCCTGTCCAACCTCATGGGTTTTCTCCAGGTCCTCAGGTTTCCCCCCACTGCTAAAGGCACCTATTCGCACACGAATTATTGAAATAAAATTGAAAAGTGTGTTAGTCCCAAAATGACCTAGTTTCTGTCAAGTTAAACCCTCTCTCTCTCTCTCTCTCTCTCTCTCACTCTCTCTCACTCTCTCTCACATACATTTAGGCCTACTTTTGATCAAATTTGATTATTATTTTTTTATCCCATCCCATAAACTCTCCATCCTGCTCCTCTGGGTGCGCATTGAATCATAAGGTCTTTAATGGAGTCATGTGGCATGGTTTCAACTTTCTGCTTGTACGTGACGAGTCCAATACATGCATTCTAAACTTTTCTTTTCAGGTGCATGTAATCTTACACAGTTTGATGGTTTTTAACGAACAATTTTTCACTTATTTTGGTGGGCTGAATGATTGGATTGTTCCAGGAGATTTAATGAAGTAAAGTATTCTAAGCTTAAAACACATGTTTAGGGGAGTTAAGATAGCCTAGAGTGTCACGCTCCGAGCTCTTGCTAGTCGGTCACCTCTGGTTTGCAGTCTTGGTTTCCATACCAGGTAGGAGCGTATGTGGCTTGGAGATAGGGGTACCTTCTCAACCTTCTGGGTTTACTCCGGGTACTCTGATGTTCTCCAACTGAAAAGATCCAAACGACTATACGTTGTACCTTGCCAGGCCTTGTCTTGCACCACTTTCATGGGGTAACAACACCGTAACTTCCTAAACTTCCTCGACCAACACCAGGATCGAACCCAGAGCCAGCATTTCATTCAATGAACCAGCACAGTTCTGTAGCTACTGGCACTGTAACCCAGGTATCATTTAATCTTGTGTATCTAGCACTAATTTCTTTCACATTCGTTTAATATCAAATCTTTGTTTAAAAATTTGTAAAAACTGTTTAAAATCACCATAAATCGTTTAATTTGTGCTTCTGTCCAGTTTAAAGCTGACCATTCAATTTTGATAATGAGTGTCCAATTTACAAGTGTTTAATTTCTTGATCACTGTTAAAATATAAACAACCCAATTAATTTCTGATGTATAATGATTAATTTTTGAACAGTGGTCAGGAAATTAAATACTTGTAAATTGGACACTCATTATCAAAATTAATCAGTCAGCTTTAAACTGGACACAAGTACAAATTAGATGATTTTTGGTGATTTTAAACAATTTCTACAAATTTTTAAACAAAGATTTGATATTAAACGAATGTGAAAGAAATTAGTGCTAGATGCACAAGATTAAATGATACCTGGGTTACAGTGTGGGAGTCAACTGGTTAGGGTTAAAAAATCTCTGCATGTTGGATGGCCGATAGGTTAGCGTGGTTCCATGGCTACTAGGAGTCAACTGGGTAGGGTTATAAAAAACCTCTGTAGCTGATATGTTGAACATTCCATGTGTCTTGGTCTTCTCAACCCATGCATGAGGTTGGATGGCCGATAGGTTAGCGGGGTTTCGTAGCTACTAGGAGTCAACTGGTTAGGGTAATAAAAAACCTCTGTAGCTGATATGTTGTATGTACATTCCATGTGTCTTGGTCTTCTCAACCCATGCATGAGGTTGGATGGCCGATAGGATAGCGTGGTTCCATGGCTACTAGGAGTCAACTGGTAGGGTTATAAAAAACCATTGCAGCTGATATGTTGAACATTCCATGTGTCTTCGTCTTCTCAATCCATGCATGAGGTTGGATTGCCGATAGGTTAGCGTGGTTCCAAGGCTACTAGGAGTCAACTGGTTAGGGTAATAAAAAACCTCTGTAACTGATATGTTGAACATTCCATGTGTCTTGGTCTTCTCAACCCATGCTGGAATTTGAACCCTTGTAGTTTTTATGAGTTCGGATATGATGACCTCTGCTGATTTTGAGTAATACATATTTAAATCTGGTACTGGTTCATTCAAAAGTTTACAGGATTCCCATGGTGTGATTTTATATGAATGATTTATTAATGATATTATAGCTAATTACAGCCTAATTATTGCTTAATTAAAAGATTGGGTATTTAAAGAGGCTTTGTCACTTTCACCAAATAGATAAATGTTATTAAATTGGAATAACATGATATTCAAAATAAGCTAAGACTCTCCCAATTAACAAATATCCAATCATTGGCTTAGTTTACAGAGAATATCCAGTCATTGGCTTAGTTTACACAGAATATCCAATCATTGACTTAGTTTACACAGAATATGTAAGTTGTTTCGATGGTATTTAGTAATTGAACGTTAATATACAGGTCATATTGCTACGGCATACAATTACTGTTTACTACAGAGCGACGTTTCTACTAGACTTCTCTAGTCATTATCAAGCAATGATAAAATATAACGAGACACTATATGGATGTATAAAACAACACTTGTTTAATGCTGGCCAACCAGAGATACCCTTCTAATTATCTTGAAGGAAACCGAACTTAATTAAAACTGAAGATTAGATAAGTAGGCCCTTGGGTACTCAGGGGTTGGATGGCTGAATGGTTAGCATGTGCTCGCTGTATCATAAGATCTGCCATTGAGTCAACCGGCGTGGTTTCGAATCCCTAGTTGTACGTGACAAGGAGTAGGGTCGCCTGTACAACCTCGTGGGTTTTCTCCGGGTCCTCCGGTTTCTTCCCACTGCTAAAGACCTCTACACGCAAGCAAATTATTGAAATAAAATTAAACCATATATTAGTCCTGAAATGACCTAGTTTGTGTTGAGTGGATGTTAAACCTCATTTCTCTCTCTCTCTCTCTTTTCACCGCCCCACCCCCAATCCCAACCAGCTTAAGTGTTAATGCCACTTTAACAAAGATTAAAATGAATTAGTATTAATGAAAATTTATGTTAATTATATATAATTGAATTTGAAGGCATGTGCTTGTGAATCATCCAGAATAATTATGATGAATCTATAATAAAATAGAAACATATGAATGAATGAATGAATGGTTACTTTTAGAAAAATGGAAGTTGGGTGGTCGAGATCGTAGGAAACATAACTTATCTATCAAAAGTTGCCTTCAAATCCCTCTCAAAACAGTTTAATAACAAGGAAATACTTCCAAGTCTACTCTTTGTAAATTCTAAATAATAGTCTGGAGGCTATGGCATGGAATATAAATGCCATATTGGTAAATGTTGCTGGGGAAAAGTTTGGCAGGCTTTGTGACGCGGCCTGCAGGCTGGAATCCAACCATGAAACTATTCAATTGATTTTCGGAAAACTAGTTTCGTTATGTATTGGTCTTGTTATGCTACATATTTTTAGACATTCCAAAGTAACTGTACGGTGCTAAGACCCCCTAAAGATAAATTTTAAATATTCCTATTATGAATTAAAACAGGTTTCTCTTTAGTTTTTAGATTTTACGCTGACGTGTATTGCGTTAAATCTTCCTAGTGCAGAAACCGAAAATTTGACCTTTTGACCTCCGGGGTCACAAAGAACAAAGGTGAATTTAGCAAGTTTACATTTTTATTGAAAGAGTGAATGGTTTTGGTCATTTTGAGCATGTTTGCATGTTTGCATGATACAAGAATGGCTGCGCATTCACTTTCAGTGCATAAATGACATCATTTGACCTTTGTCCCCGAATATCTCAAAAGCGCACAAATGGCAGACTGATTACCACTCAGCAACGTATTCTACACAAAATTTTACTGTAGTAAAGTTGGGTCTGGGTTTGTGTTCATTTGATGGACCCCGCCCCCCAGCAATGAGCTTCTGATCTATAATAAATTAAAACCCCATTTCATTTTACTCCTACGAAAGAATTAAAGTATGACCATCTGAAATAACCTAGTATAGAAACGATATCAATTAAAATTAATTTGATAATTCCACTGCATTGCGTTGTTTCGATTCCCCGGTTGTATGTGACACGCAGTAGGGTCGCTTGTCTAACCTCGTGGGTTAAGACAGATCGTCTTGGCTCAATTTTTATACTGTTGCACCCACCCACAGATTTTGTACAAATAGAATAAATGCATAATGAATAAAATTTCGATCTGTGCTCTGATGTAGAAGCTAAAGTCAATAATTTTGAATTTGTAAGTAAATCTAAGTGTATGTGTATATTGTTACCACCTGTTACCATTATTTAATACTCAATTACTTGGCGATAAATCATTAAATAAAGTGTTCATTATTAAATAGAAATAAGTCATATTAAGGACATACCAGTACTCCTTTCAGTGCTTTGTAGAAATATGGAATCCAAGTATTTAAAAAAACAAATATGCACTTTTCTCGTTTTCATAAGCCCAGTTTAAGCAGAAAGGTAGGATGCGTTTTGTTGAAAAAGAGAGAGAGAGAGAAATGAGGTTTAACGTCCACTCGACACAGACCAGGTCATTTCGGGACTAACGTATGGTTTAATTTTATTTCAATAATTCGCTTGTGCGTAGGTGTCTTTAGCAGTGGGAGGAAACCAGAGGACCCAGAGAAAACCCACGAGGTTGGACAGGGGACCCTACTCCTTGTCACGTACAACCGGGGATTCGAAACCACGCCAGTTGACCGTTTAGTAGAAAGATGGGATCCAAAAATTGAAAAACAAATATGCTTACTAAGTAAAAATGCCTGTTTCTCGTCTTCATAAGCCCAGTTTAAGCAGAAAAGTAGAATGTTAAACCCCAATTATGACCGATTTACTTTCATTATAAAATTCCTAAGAAATTTTAATGTTCCCTTTTTCTGTTATGTGGTAATTCCTTCAAGTTTATGTGCTTCATTTGTATATTTTGACAAATATCTAATTTACCATAGCTGTAATATTAAAGTGTAATGACCTGTAGTATTAAAGTGTAATTACCTGTAATATTAAAGTGTATTGACCTGTTGTATTAAAGTGTAATGACCTGTAATATTAAAGTGAAATATTAAAGTGTAATGACCTGTAATATTAAAGTGTAATATTAAAGTGTATTGACCTGTAATATTACAATGTAATGACCTATAATATTCAAGTATAATGACCTGTGGTATTAAAGTGTAATGATTTGTTATGTTAAAGTGTAATGACCTGTAATATTGAAGTGATATTGTTGTCAAAAGTTATTGAGTAAAAAAAAGAAGTGGGGGTGGAGCTGGGCATATAATTATGAGCTTTTTACTGACACTACTAAGTAAGCCATACAGTGTGATACAAGGGTATTTTGCCCAGACAGCGGAGCTATGGCCGACTCTTATATCGAATTCTAGTTGCCAAGGGATCTTTTACATGCATGGCAATGTGTACACAGGACCTTGGTTTTTTGTCCCATCTGAAACACTAGACTATACATTGTCCCTTGTCACTGAGCTAATGAAGAGGGCATAAGCCATGTAATATCATTGAATTCCAACTGCAAAAGGTTCTTTTACATGCATGCCGTGTAAAGAGGACCATGGTTTTTTGGTCCAATCTGAACGAGGAAGTTTCTCGACCAACATCGTGGTCGTCTGCCTTACCTCATAGGTTATGTCTGGACCTTCGGGATTCCTCCCACTGCCCAAGACCCCTATGTGCAAGGAAATTATTGAAAGATAATTGATCCATATGTTAGTCCCAAAATGACCTAGTTTGTGTCGAGTGGACGTTAAACCCCATTTCCCTATGACATAATGCCTCAGCTCTCTCTCTCTCTCTCTCTCTCTCTCTCTCCCCCTCTCTCTCTCTCCCTCTCTCTCCCCCTCTCTCTCTCACTCTCTCTCTCTCCCTCTCTCTCCCCCTCTCTCTCTCTCTCTCTCTCTCTCTCTCTGTCTCTCTCTCTCTGATTAAGTGATTTACCTGCATCTGAACAATTGATCATCATGATATACCATTATTTTAGAGTGACATTGATGTTTATTATTAGTCTCGTCTTTTTATCAGTAAAATCGGACGTAAATATGTACAGATCATTGAGCTAATTTGGATGAGAAGATTGATAGAAAGGAAACCAATCAGTAACCTATCCCTTCTTAGATAAAAAATAATACTCAATTTTATTCAATTCACTTCTCTTTCTTTAGGATATAATCTTGATTCTTACAAATAATTTCAACAACATTCGCGAGTCACGATAGCTTGGTACCAAGTCTGGAGATAAGGAACCTATTACAGACAATGTCAGGCACAGATTCAGGCTTTGCCGGGCACTTAGTTGAAAATGTCAGGTACTATGTCGTTAGTGCCTGGCAACGGACAACATACAGTCATTCGGATGGTATGAAAAAATGAGGTCCAACGTACACATTGACATGCACATAAAAGAACCCTCGACAGTTGGAGAATCAATATAATCGTAGCGCCACTGTTTGGGCAAAATTTCTCTCATAGCACAGTGTATAGCGTATGTCTATTCTTCATTAGCCCAGTCAGAGCAGAACAGTAGGACGTTAAACCCTGTTTCATTTCAGTTCAACAACATGCATTTGCCCATCTTTTGTATGTGGAAAAATTGACGAGAAAATAATCATATCCTCAGGACAGAACAATGTGATTTTCTGTTTGTTTGGAAACATCTGTAAAATATTTCCATCTTATTTCTTCAGGACAAAGACTTATCTTAAAAAAACAAAAATACGTGTTTGTGCTGTTTAAAGTCTTTAGTTTTCAAATCTTGAAGTTTTGAAATTATAAACAGAACATCTTTCATGGGCTATTTATTTATTTATGAAATCCCTGAAGAAATGAAATGAAATGAAATGGGGTTTAACGTCCTACTGTTCTGCTCCGAACTGGGCTAATGAAGACGGCTATACACCATACTGTGTGCTATGAGGGAAATTTTGCCCGGACAGGGGCACTATGACCTACTCTTATATCGAATTCCAACTTTCAAGGGATCTTTTACGTGCATGCCAATGTGTACATGGGACCTTGTTTTTTCGTACTATCCGAACGACTAGACAGCTGTCCTTGTCAGGCCCTGCATCACTGACAAGGGAGAACCACGTCGGAAAATCTTTATGGACTTTCTCAGCCAATGCAGGGATCAAACATCCGACCTCCAGGCTAGGTGAGCCAGCATCTTACACACTTAGCCACAGCGTCTTACCTACTTAGCCACCGTGGCCCCCCATCACTGAAAATGAAATTGATGTGCCCTAACTTGATAAAGAGTTTTGAAAGAGCTTCAGTCTGTATTGTAATTGATTAGATTCTACAGTATTTCGTATTTTAATTTAGGTCTGTAGAAATATAGATTAAGTGAAATGCAAATTAATTGATTTTTACAAATAGATTAATATCTTTTGATGAAACATTGTTTTTCACCACAAGATAAACATATCTGTGAAACTACAGGTCATTTAGTTTAAAATGTTGCTAATTAATGTTAATAGGGGCGTTGGATGGCTGAATGGTTAG